GGGGTGCCTGGGTGGCTCAGTGGTTGAGCGTCTGCCTTTGGCTCAGGGCGTGATCCCAGAGTCCCGGGATCAAGTCCCACATCGGGATCCTTGTATGGAGCCTGCTTCTCCCTCTGTCTGTGTCTCTGCCTCTGTCTCTCTCTGTCTCTCATGAATGAATAAATAAAATCTTTAAAAAAGTATTTAGTAGAATTCTTGCACAACCTTGCACTGAGGGAGATGTTCCTAAGCAAAGCAGAAAATACAGAAACTATAAAGAAAAAGACAGACATTAGCAAAAGACATCCTAACTGAAGTCAAGATATACCAAAGCATGGAGGGAAATATTTTACTCAGACGACAATCAAAAAGTTAGTATCTTTAATATAAAAAAGCTTTGAAAATTGCTGAGAAGTATAAATATGTTAAAAAATGGGCAAATAGACAAATTTACAGAAAAGAAAATACAAATTTCTAATAAATACGAAAGGTGATCATAGTCATGATAATGCCAATAAAACCAAAATGGTATTCAATATTTCACCTTTAAGAATTGCAAATTTCTGCAAGCATAATAACAGTATGGACAAGTGAGGACATAGAGAAATGGGTACTTTCACAAATTTCTAGTGAGAATGTGAATTAATATAAACTTTTTAGATGGTAATCTCTCAGTATGTGTTTTTAAATTTATTTATTTTTTGTGTGTGTTTTTAAATTTAAACTACACATACCAGGATATTACTGAAATATCTCCAAGATATACTACATACAACCACAAGATGTAAGATAGTGTGTATAATCCCTTTTTCTGTAAACTATTATGATGGACTCAGTAGGTATTGTATTAGAGTAGGTTAACTACTACAAACTATAAAACCAAACATAAAACAACTCAAAGGTTATTGTTACTAAGTTGTGGGATAGTATAAAAGATATTAAGGGCTAGTCTTAGACAATTCCAACTGGCCACAATTAGTCACTTGACCACAAAGGAAACAGAAATGTCATCTAGCTGTGTGCCCAAGAGGAAGAGGAGAAATTTTGATGGACAGCCCAAAGTCCCCGCTATAGATAATGAATAGGGAGATAGGTAGGTAGATAGACACATAGATATGGAGGAAGCTATCTACCTGTATTTGTAGTTATACTACATAAATTCAGTATAAATGTGATTTTTATTCCTGGCAGAAATGATAAGAAACTCTCCATAAGGGTTATATTATAACTTAGAACCAAATGGAAGAGGAGGAAGCTTTTGTTTTATTTTATATTTCTCTGGACTGTTTGCCTTTCTTAACTCGATACATATATTTCCCACCCTCCAAAAAAGTAGCTATAGGATTTATTCAAGTGATAACAGTACATCCCATTCTTCCTCTTTGTTTCTCTTTTCTCTGTATACTTAAAATATATAGATACATTTTAAGTGGCTAATAAGTATATGTCAAATAAATAGTACTAAAACAAATATACTGAAAAAAATAAATATACCTTTTCTCCTAGCAACTTGATAAGCTAGCCCACTGAAATGAAAGTGTCAATATAAGGATACAAAAACAAGGCTATTTAGTGCATCTTTATTTGTAATGGCAAATACTGCAAACAATTTGAATACCTATTGATGAAATTTCAAAAAGTACAAATTATAGAATTGTAGCTCTCAAACTTTTTGGTTTCAGTACTCTTTACACTCTTAAAAAGTTATTAAGAACTCCAAAAGGGAGTTCTACATGAATTGAATTTATCCATATTTATCATAACAAATTTTAAAATATTTATAATCTCATTTAAAAATAATAAACCCACCATTTGCTTCGACGTGGATGGAACTGGAGGGTATTATGCTGAGTGAAATAAGTCAATCGGAGAAGGACAAACATTATATGGTCTCATTCATTTGGGGAATATAAATAATAGTGAAAGGGAATAAAGAGGAAAGGAGAAAAAATAAGTGGGAAATATCAGAAAGGGAGACAGAACATGGAAGACTCCTAACTCTGGGAAACAAACTAGGGGTGGTGGAAGGGGAGGAGGCCGGGGGGTGGGGGTGACTGGGTGGTGGGCACTGAGGTGGGCACTTGACGGGAGGAGCACTGGGTGTTATTCTGTATGTTGGCAAATTGAACACCAATAAAAAATATTTATTATTAAAAAAAAGGAACTAAAAAAAAATAAAAAAATAATAAAAGTACCATATGTTAATGCAATAACATATTTTATGAAAAATGTCTATTTTCACAAAACAAAACACACAGTAAAAGAATGGCATTGTTTTCAGGCACGTGGGTGGCTCTGTCAGTTAAGCATCTGCCTTTGGCTCAGGTCATGATCCCAGAATCCTGGGATTGAGACCGGTGTCAGGTTCCTTGCTCTGTGAGGAGCCTGCTTCTCCCTCTCCCTCTGGCTACTGTTCCCCCTGCTTGTGCTTTCTCTGTCTCTTTTCACATATTCTTGATACTTTTTAAATATTATACCAAAACTCCACAAGTGGCTGTTTATTAAAGGTTAGTTGCAATGTAGAATCTGAAACCATATCAATGAACTTTTGTACTGTTAGATTAAAATCTTTATTTTGTACTTTGAATAGATCTCTTATTCATGATTTTTAATATCATGCATTGATCATCTGGAAAATATTGGTTCACTGAGCTATGCTGATCTCCCAAGTATTGACACACTTCATTATGCAATGAATTATCAAAAAATAAAATTCATGAATATCATCACTGATGATATGGTGATGGTGATGGATAAAAGTTTTCCAAAATTGCTTATAAGCTTGAATTTTACCATCAGCAACAATAGTGTCAACTGTTTTCCTTGAAGTGACAGTCTTTGTTCATCTTCATATATTTTTTTCATTTAAGTTCAAATACCTGGTCTGAATAACTACAGTTTTTCAGTCTTTCTTTAAAAAAAAAGAAAAGAAAAGAAAAGTACTTCCTGGAAAAAGCAGCTAGTTTTAAGCTCACAACCCAATCATGTAAGTGCATTATTACTGTGAGACAACCATCATATCCCAGTATGTTCCAAAAGCTCTTCATGCAGCCTTCCCATTTTACCACCCACCATTTTGACAAGGCATGTACTCAAGGACTGAGATTTAATATAATTAATTTTTACCGCCTCATCAATGGACATTCTTTCAGTGACACCAAATAAAACAAACAACAGACAAAAAGCCAAAAAAAAAACAAAAACAAAAACAAAAACAAAAACCAGGGAGTTATGGGTGGTGAAGAATGCATTGACTATCATTGTAGTTTGATGTGACAGCCTTGATTCATGCTAAGCAGCCTAAATTTGAATCCAGTAACACCACCTCCTTAGCTGTGTGTGACTTAGGGCATATTTACTTGATTCTACTGAGCTTTAGTTCCTCTATCTGCAAAACAGTGATAAAGTACTATCCACTCTCATAGATTTTTTGCAACAAATGAATGAAATAAAATGTTTAAATGCCATGCCCAACGCCATGACATAGTTTAAGAGCCCAATACGTAGTAGATGGATTTCAACTACAGACTGCAGTATTAATAAAAGCAGCACCTCAGATAACAGGAAATCTATTGTTATAACCTACTGGAGAGTTGACTGTCAGATTTAGAAATGAAAACATAGTTTTGTGATTTCCTTACTTTGTCTTTCTATCTGTGAAGACCTCCAATTGTGTCATAAGACTCAACTATCTGGGTTGTCAGTTTTTTTAACTTCTAGAATGAGAACACAATGTCCTTCTACCTTTGAGAAAGTAAAACCCAAAGCAGCCCAGACTATAGGAAAGAGCTTATTATTCTAACACTTTCTGGGTTTTAGCTGTTTGGGGACCTAACCAACACACATATGCCTCCAGTTATCTTCAAGTACAAGGGCTGCCCTACGACCCAGCAATTGCACTGTTGGGGATTTACCCCAAAGATTCAGATGCAATGAAATGCCAGGACACCTGCACCCTGATGTTTATAGCAGCAATGTCCACAATAGCCAAACTGTGGAAGGAGCCTCGGTGTCCATCGAAAGATGAATGGATCAAGAAGATGTGGTCTATGTATACAATGGACTATTACTCAGCCATTAGAAATGACAAATACCCACCATTTGCTTTGACATGGGTGGAACTGGAGGGTATTATGCTGAGTGAAATAAGTCAATTGGAGAAGGACAAACATTATATGGTCTCATTCATTTGGGGAATATAAAAAAATAGTGAAAGGGAATAAAGGGGAAAAGAGAAAAAATAAGTGGGAAATATCAGAAAGGGAGACAGAATATGAAAGACTCCTAACTCTGGGAAACGAACTAGGGATGGTGGAAGGGGAGGAGGGCGGGGGGTGAGGGTGAATGGGTGATGGGCACTGAGGGGGGCACTTGACGGGATGAGACTGGGTGTTATTCTGTATGTTGGTAAATTGAACACCAATAAAAAATAAATTTATTATAAAAAAAAGTACAAGGGCTGCATATTAGGGAACACTTATCAAGCACTTTAAGATGTTTTGAGAAAAGCACTTTGTTTAGATTCTTATACGTTGACCACGAATCAATGTTTAAATTCTCAGTAATAGTATACAGCAACCCAAAATTTAAGAGTGGATAGTTATTTCTGGATGATGAGGTAAAAGTTGATTTTTATTTTCTTTTTATGTTTGTTTGTTTTTGGTTTTGTTTTACATTTTCTTACCATCAGCATAATCTATTTACTGTGTTAAAGTTATTTTATTTTTTTTTAAAGGAGAAAATCACAGTGAGTTTGGTTTATGGCATTTTTACTGCAATTTTGCACAGCATTTAAAATTTCAAAGGATAAGTTAAAATTTTAAAAGAACAGTGCACTCACCTTGGCAAAAGGAGGAAATAGACTTCACTGTGGTTTTAACCACTCACCCACAACTTTGAGAAAAGAAAGATTGTCTAGCCAAAAGCCATTACTTTAATAACACAATATAAGCATTGTACTGAGCAGTAAAACATGTTAACATGTGCTAAAGCTCTACCATGTTTGGGTATTGGCTCTTGTCTTAACAAAGAGCAAGCAAATCAGTTATGGAACAGCAGGCAGTGCAACACACACTTTATAAGTCTTGTTTTAACATCACCCAGTGCTTCTCTGAGCCCCAAGACCCTCCAGTAGGCAGCTGTCCATCCTGAAGACTTTCCTCCCCTGAGGAACCCACCTTCGGGGGTTTTGCGCTGTGCTTTCCTCAGAAACATAATCATAAACATAATTTGGGAGCTGGAGGTGGTTTCCTCACTCGGTAGGGAAGAGAAAAAAAGAATACTTCCTCAGAGGGACCTGACAAAGAAGGAAGGTAGCAGCCAAGTTCTACGCTTGGGAAAATGCATTAGATTTTTAAAGGAAATTGAATCCTACCCATTATTTTCTTTGAATGTCTGGCTTCAGAAAGATTAGACATTCTGGGAAGAACTCGCTCATCTCCACCCACCTCATTTTACAGAGGAGAAATGACACAGCCAGTGTCTTGAGGCCAGTGAATAGCCAAGTCAGGGCTGGCCTTCTGTTGTACTGGTTACCTCTGCTTGTTGACCAGCAGCCTCCATGATATTAGTTACATGCTATTAACACACACACACACACCAATAAAAAATAACCCTGAGTATGCCATGTAAAGCTCATCAGCAAGGCAGGAAGTGGAGACATAAACCTCTATGTCTGAAAACAAAAAGTAGTTCCCACTATTACTGGAGTGTTGTTCCCAAAGTGCTCCCTCAATTTAATCTTGTTCAAACTCATTTATCAGTACCTTAGCATACTGGCAAGTACCAAGAAAACCTACATGAATGAATGCTGATTAGGCAACCACTAATGGGTGGAATAGATAATACATGAGAAAATACTCTGTGAACGATAAAATAAACTATTATGATGTCAGTTGGTGTTAAAAAGAAAGCCTTGCATGGACATCCATTCCACTGCCCTATGTGTTTCGTGGATATTCCAAATATATTCTTTCTATCTTTCTTTTGTTTTTAAGATTTTATTTATTTACTCATGAGAGACACACACACACACACACAGAGAGAGAGAGAGAGAGAGGCAGAGACACAGGCAGAGGGAGAAGCAGGCTCAATACAGGGAGCTTGATGTGAGACTCGATCCTGGGTCTCCAAGATCACACCCTGGGCTGAAGGCGGCACTAAACCACTGAGCCACCCGGGCCGCCCCCAAATATATTCTTTCTACTGCATTTTGGCTTGCTAATCCAGAGGTGGATAAATAATGATAAGCCTAGTAAATTATGCTTGCTGTCTTGAGATTTAAAAAAACTCTTATTATATCTGTTAACATCTAGTAACTATGAACCTCTCAATGTGGGAGTAGTAAGTTCATAATTTTTCAAGAAATTATCCCACCAAAATATGAAAACTGTGGGTCATTTTCTAAAAATATTTTTGTTTACCAAAGTCATTGTTTTTTTTTTGTTTGTTTTTTAAGATTTTATTTATTTATTCATGACAGACACACACACACACACACACAGAGGGAGAAGTAGGCTCCATGCAGGAGCCTGACGTGGGACTCAGTCCGGGGTCTCCAGGATCATGCCCTGGCCTGAAGGCGGCGCTAAACCGCTGGGCCACCAGGGCTGCCCTACCAAAATTGTTTGAACGCACATTGAAAGCTTTACAATTATATATGTGCTTGCAACATTATGTAGTCACATTTTCCTTTTTTAACTTTTTATTATAAAACTATAACTCTCAATGATGAACATAGAATCTTAAACAAATTCTATTTCACACTTTAACATAGGATTAGCCAAAAATTCCAGTCAAACTTCTTGAATTGAAAAATGAAGAAATGCAGTGAAGTCAGTCCCCTCGGTATTTCTGAAACACATTAGACTTATTCCTACCTTCCACCTGGAGCTAGCACAGAAATAGACAACTGCTTTTAGGTACTCTAGCCCCCAGAGGAGCTTCATAGACTCCTCACTCCTCGCTTCTGAGATGGCAAGTAGGACAGAGAATAGAAATAAAGCCAAAAAGGTGCCCTTCATTTTGCAAGGATTGAATAAGAATCTGATGTGGTGAACATTGCCAAATTAAGTTTTGAAGTTACTGTCACACTCTTGTCCAATTTATACTATCTTTCCCAACATTTTATTGGTCAGAGCCTCATTTTAACAATATTTACAAAGCACAAAGGTTACATCGTGAAGTTTTGATAATGTGCCTTTATGATTATTGCTAGTTATTCAGTCACTTCTGAGCACCATCACTTACCATTAACTGCATCCATGAAACAATAAACAGAACGCTCTCTTAGAGAACATCTAGAAAAATACAGGCTTTGGAAGTAGCCACGTATGAGTCTCAATGAATCTTTCCACATTTGGCCAGCAAAAGTTTGTTGATTGTATCTCTAACTAGAGCACTTAATCCTCTTTATTTGGAGATTGACATAACTTTTCCTTCTCATCTAGTCTGCAACTCATTTTACTATCTGTGTGGCTTGGAACATGTAACTGTCTTCTCTGAGTCTAGTTTCCTCATTTGTGAGGAAATAATTTGCACTTATGTTGTTGTGAAGACAGAAGGAGTTAACATAAGTAAAACACATAGCATCATATAAGACGTTTAATAAACACTGAGTAAATTGACAATGTGATACTCAAGGGATGATAAATGTGATTTTTGGTTGCAAATAGCTACTATGGAAGGCTTTTATGTATAACTCTTGACCTCATAACTATCCATAAATTTGCACTGCCCTGATCTTTTTCTTTCTTTCCTTCATTCTTTCCTTTCTTTGTTCCTTTCCTCCTTCCACAAATAAGTTCTAAAAGGCAGAACCATTGAGTACTATTTCTGAAACTGTTTTCTCTAGGACATGAGTCTTTGAAGATGGTCTTTGAAAAAAAATCCTATGGGAATAGTCCCTTTCTTGGAGGATTAATAATGCATATTTTATTTAACGGCTCAGAGAAGACTTATAGTTAGGAATCTTCTTTAATATGCTTAATTCAGGGCAGCCCAGGTGGCTAGGTGGTTTGGCGCCTGCCTTTGGCCCAGGGCATGGTCCTGGAGACCCAGGATCGAGTCCCACGTCGGGCTCCCTGCATGGAGCCTGCTTCTCCCTCTGCCTGTGTTTCTGCCTCTCTCTCTCTCTCTCTGTGTGTCTCTCATGAATGAATAAAATCTTAAAAAATATATGTTTAATTCAAAGTTTCCCAAACTTATTTGACCCAAGAAAATCTTTCACCATGAAATTGACTAATATCTGGGGTAGTCATGAATTTCTAAAGAAGACGTATTTTCAGTTTTCTTCTTTTCAGGCACATGGTAGGATTCTATTCTCCTGTTCTTTAAAGCTGTATGTGGTCATGTGACACATTTTAGCAAATAAAAGATGACTGGAAATAACATCTGTCACTTGTACCTGGCATTTAAGAATGGGTGCCTGATTCCCCAATTCTCCCTCTCTCTCACCTCGATGACCAATAGCATTCTTGATAGAATCTGGTCTCTGAGTCAGAACAATATAGGGGATGGCCACCTGTTCACCTGTAATGAATATATAATGTAAATGAGAAGTAAATTCTTAGCATTTAAAACCACTGAGATTTGGTGATTATTGGTTGTGGCAACATAATTCGACTTATCCAGACTAGTATGATTATCTTAAAGTTATTTACATCTTATAGATGTAGACAATGTTTACAATGATCCAAGTTTTTAGATCAAAGTAAGATCAGTTATTTGAACTTAACAGCTGGAATCAATTGCCATGTGCTCAATATGATTGATAATATGAAGATCCACAATTAATAGGAATCAAAATTTCAAATTAACAACCGAACAATGGATGGAGTAAACGTGTATTTCATCTATAAATTGTTATCAAGGAACTGTGGCCACAAGAATATTTAATACATGGTGTTAGAGCAGGATGGCATGAGTTATAAGTACATCTGTCACACTCGGATTTGGGAAATCAGATCTCCATTTTACCATTAAATATCTATGTGTCCTTAGGAGATACTTGGTGTCTCTGAATCTCAGTTTCTTCATTTGTAAAATAGAGATGATGATACTGACTTCTTTAGGGTGGTCATCAGGATTAAATTATGCAGAGTACTATCAGAGTCTCTAGCACAAAGGAAGCTTTCAATAGATTGATCATTCATGGTAATAGTAAGGATTATAATTCTACCAAATATTACATTGTGTCACAGTGGCCTTGGTGTTAGAATGCTAGAGTTTTAATACTAGTCCTACAGTTTCCAGCTAGGAGAGCTTGAGAGAGCCATTTAAAATGTAATTTGATTTTCTAATTTGTAATCTGGAAAAATATCACAGGATCAAATGAAGCGATGTTAATTATAGCACAGATAAATTTTAAAATATACCACATAGGGTGGGCAGTGGGGGTGACTGGGTGATGGGCACTGAGGTGGTCACTTGACGGGATAAGCACTGGGTGATATTCTATATGTTGGCAAATTGAACACAAATAAAAAACTTATTAAAAAAATAAAATATACCACATATAGTTATTTTATGATAAGGATGATTATAAGATCACTCCATAAATTTGTTATCAAACATATTATCAAACTTATTTTTTTTTAAGATTTTATTTATTTATTCATGAGAGACACACAGAGAGAGAGGCAGAGACACAGGCAGAGGGAGAAGCAGGTTCCATGCAGGGAGTTTGACGCGGGACTCGATCCCGGGTCTCCAGGATCAGGCCCTAGGCTGCAGGCAGCTCTAAACTCCTGAGCCACCTGGGCTGCCCAAACTTATTTGTATTCATACTGATTACTTCTAGAGGGTGTTTTCATCATAGGGCACCCCTATTCATCTAGCTATTTCTGGGAGTCATTGACAACTCCTCATTCTCCCTCTCTCTTCCCTGACTAAAACCTCCTTCTTGCACACACATCCATTAAACCACCAAGTCTACCTCTAACTTTCTCTGTGATCCACTTATTCATTCTTTATCCTCTCTGCCATGATCTTCAACTCTCATTTAGAGATTGCAACAGTCTTTCAACTGGATCTATCTCCTCCATCAAGCCATTGTCCACACTGCTGCTGAAATGATCTTTCTAAACATATGCTTATATTATTTATTGCCCACTTTGAAAACTCTTCAGTGGCTTTCCATTTTCCTCAAGAAAAAGTCCAAATTTCCTTATCATGGCCTACAAGACCTTTCATGATATGCCTGTGTCTACTTGTACAGGCCCTCAAACTCTCAGTGGTCTAGCTCTATGAAACTCACTATTTGTGGAAACTTTGTGTTCTCTCTCTCTCTCTCTCTTTCTCTCTCTCTCTCAGCAGGCCTTTGCCCCTGCTGTTTTCTTCACCTGAAACCTCTTTTCCTACCCTCTTTAAAACTAGTTAACTTCTACTCCATAAATACCTGTAGAATGGGTATTGAAATATTACTTATTTAGACAACTTTCTGCATAACTTTATGAATAAAACTTTCTTAGTTCACACTTCAGTAATTTTTTAAACTGCTCTGTCAGTAAGAATTTAAGAGAACAGCTAAAAATGTTTTTAATAATATTAAAAAACAATATTTTATATTTACAGTTTAATTTTGTATGGACAAGGAAGCTATTTTCTTTTTATGTTCTTGTCATTATTTTGGGTTTTTAGAAATTTAAAAGTTTTTTAATACATAAATTGAAAAAGCTCAATAAGTAATTGAAATATACAATAATTTAAAAATTCAATAAAAGTATTATCAGTGATTTATGATGTGTAAGATCCCTAAAAATATCCTGGGATACTTTTTCCTTCCTAGTTGAATAGCATCAAATCTTTTAATAGTTATTCAAAGAAATACAGACATGGTGAGAGCACATTTTTCATGAGTTGTTCTAGATGCTACACAAATGTGTCATCAACTTAGAAAAAGCAGTGCTTATTTTGATAAGATTCATAACCATGTTTTATATGTTCCAACTTAATGGACATGTTCTGCTTTCTATGTAACCCAGGGATTAGTTTCATGTAAACTGTTAGCCTTTTAGTTTTATCACCCACTGAGTATGCCAACCCAAGCAAATGAAGGTTAATAGCCTAGCAAATGTTCTATGGACTTGAGGGTAGACTTGAACATTGCAGTAAATCCTGAACAAAACAGACCCAAAGCCCAAATGGAACAAATGACATCATTAGCATAGTCTGTATCTCCTGAAGGAGGAATGGGGCCTTGCAAGGACCTAGCCAGCTGCAAAGGGCAAAGAAGTTCTCGGACCAAGAAGTGGGAAGGTAGTCTGGAATAATCAGAATGAGAACTATCATTTCTGAGTACCTACTTTGTGCAGGCATCGTTCTAAGTGTTTTGTGTTGGAGGTAAACTGTACCAGTCGGTGGGAACAGAATCTCAAAAGTAGCAGCAATATTTGCCTAAAGAAAGTCATCATAAATGTGTTTTCAACCTTTGTCTTGAGGGAGAAAATTGATTTTATATTGTTATAGAGCAAAGAAAACTATAACCTATGTTCAGCTGATTTTCAAGTCTGATTTTATGTTTTGCTTGATTTTGTGTTCTGTGTTTTCCACAGTTAACATACCCTCTATGATGTTAAGATATTTTGTTAGGACATCATTTACACATCACTCATTGCATGGAAAATGGTTTCTCTGAGGCTCACTGTGCTCCCTCCTAGGCCCTACTGCTTCCTGAACAATGCTATTTAGAAGCAGGTCATAGGTCCCCTCTACTCTATAGATTCATTAGGCCTCTCTCTTTTCGTCATTCCCCACCCCTTCCAGCCCCACAGAAACTTCACTTTTCACTTCCTGTTTAAGATACTTGGAATAGGGGCAGGTCCTGAAGAAGGGAGCTCAGAAAAGGCTATCCTGAGAAGATGAGATATGAACTCAGATCTGAAGGAAGAGCGAAGAGTTAACATGTTGAAGAGGAGTGAGGGATGGGAAGGAAAGTGTTCATTTGGGGATGAAACCTTAATTAGAGAAGAATATATATTCTTGTGCTTTGGTTATGAAACTTCATTGAACTATAGAGACATTAACCATTCACTACACGATAGTGGAAAATGTTTAAGGACTGCTCAAAGCCTTGGACTTGAGTTTATGCCTGACCAGTTATCAGATATATGGTCTTTGGTAAGTTATATTACCTATTTAAGCCTTCATTATATTATCTGGAAAATAGAGATTATAATAATAACTACCTCTCTTATCTGTCCCATAGGACTGCTCTAAGGGTATAACAAGATAATGGACGTGAAAGTGCTCTACAAACTGTAAAGTACTTTAATATACGTTACTACTAGTGTGTTGTTGATAACTAAATCTATTCAATATTTTCTTTTAGGGAGACTTTTATTGAAACAAAATGGCAAATACTGAGTGTTCTGCTTCTCATTTGTAATTGTACGTAACTACATAGAGGTGAACCAAAGGAACACACTATGATACAAATTGTATCATGAATACAATCTTCCTTCCCTACAACAGTTGCAACAGCATCTAACAACTTACAACTTACAGAAGTTCTATGTGAAAGGTGGGTGGTAGAGAATGACCAAATAAAGTAATGAATATGTAGGAGTCTAAAATAGGAGTCTAAAGTCAGACAAGTCATCAAGTCATCATTTAGTCTCCTAATTAGTACATTAGCAGTGCGTGCGCGCGCGCACATGTGTTTTTTTTTAAAGATTTTATTTATTTATTCATGAGAGAGAGAGAGAGAGAGAGAGAGACAGGCAGAGGGAGAAGCAGTTTCCATGCATGGAGCCCGATGCGGGACTCAATCCCGGGTCTCCAGGATCATATCCTGGGCCGAAGGCAGGCGCTAAACCGCTGAGCCACCCAGGGATCCCCCACAGGTGTGTTTAAGGATAAAATGAGACAGCTAATTGCTAAGCAGAACTCTCATTCAATTCTTAAAATTCTATGGTAAACTCCACTACATATGTAATTGGGAAAATGCATATTAAAACAACGAGATACAACTACACATCGATTAGAATAGCCACAATTTAGAATACTGACAATACCAGAGAGGCAAGGATATGGAAAAGTAGCAGCTCTCATACATTACTGGAAGGAACAAAAAATTGTGGACAGCCACTTTGAAAAATAATTTGGGTTTTGGGTAGGGAGGGGTTTGTCTTGTTTTGTTCGTTTTTGCAAAATTGGACACGCTATACGATCAGTAATCATTCTTCTTGATATTAACTCAAAGGAGTTAAAACTTATGTCCACACAAAATTCTGCACACAAATGTTTTTAGCAACTTTATTCATAATTGTCAAAATTTGGAAGCAACCAAGATGTCCTTCAGTAGGTGAATGATAAACTGTGGTATGTGCAGACAATGGAATATCATTCAGCACTAAAAAGGAATGAGCCATAAAGCCATCAATAGATATGGAAGAACCTTAAATTCACCTTATTAAGTGAAAGAAGCCAATCTGAAAAGGTTATATACACTGATTCCAATTATAGAATATTCTGAAAAAGATAAAATCACTGAGACAGTAAAAGATCTGTGGTTGCCGGATCGGAGGCAAGGTAAATAACAGAGCACAGAGGATTTTTAGGGCAGTGATAATGCTCTATATAATACTATAATTTGGATATATGTTATTATACATTTGTCCAAACCCATAGATTATACAACACTAAGGGTGAACCATTATGTATACTCTGGTATTTAGGAGGTGTCAGTTAGGCTCATTGATTGTAACAAATGTACCACTTTGGTGAGTGTTGTTAATAATGGGAGAGGCTATGTGTTGGTGGGGGCAAGGAGCATATGGGAAATCTCTTGTACCTTCTTTTGGTTTTGTTATGAGACTAAAACAACCAAAAACAAATACTAAATTTTTAAAGAAAATTTATTAGAAATAGAGCTTACTACTAGTGAGAAGCCAAAACCAATCTAGAAAGCCAGCAAAATAATTGCTTCTATAATTGCTTCTATAATTTAAAGATCTTAAAATCAAAATTGATGCTAATCTTAAACTATCAGAGTCTGTAAAATCAGGAGTGAGAAGGGTAAAATGAAAGAGGTTCAGTGCCTCAGGATCAGTTGCCCAGTCTAAGAATAATAAAATAGTTTTATTTTTCATTTAGACTTGATGAGCAGGGATGGTACAATACATGAACAATTTTGAATGGTCAAAAGTACATGATAAAAAGAAACATTGTTTCAATTAAATCAAGTTTTTATTTTGTTATACAGCATGTTATAGAAAGTCCAACCTTTAGGAAAGATGAAAAGATGAACAATGATGATTTATATCAGCAGAAAATTTATAATTCTTATTACTTGGCCTAAGCTCTGGGTCTACCTAAGAAATCACCTTGCTTTTGTTTAAAGGATGGCTCCAAAGAAATGGAGATTGTGAAGAAGTGGACACATAAAAGGCAGATTCTACTGTTGCACACATTCCATTCTTAGTTTCATACAGACTTTTTTTTTTTTTTTTCAGAGAACTTAGTGAGTTTCGAATGTCTCATCCTCTCCTCTCCACTTAGAAGGCTTTGCAAAACAGGGCACACTGTCCTATGGCCTCGGTTAACAAAACACAGGACTTGTTCTAAAGAACAGCATGGAATAGGCTGTTAGCAATCTGTTTGGGGGAGTTGCTGCCTCCCACTCCTCCTATTTCCACAAGCTAGCTCTAGAACCCTTCATAAGATAAGATCCAGATGCCAAATACAAATTGAGGACTTTCTATTTTCTCTCTGGGCCCACTTAAGCCTGGGCTTAAAACCCATAGCAGGGATCCCTGGGTGGCAGAGCGGTTTAGCGCCTGCCTTTGGCCCAGGGCGCGATCCTGGAGACCCGGGATCGAATCCCACGTCGGGCTCCCGGTGCATGGAGCCTGCTTCTCCCTCTACCTATGTCTCTGCCTCTCTCTCTCTCATTGTGTGCCTATCATAAAAAAATAAAAATTAAAAAAATAAAAAAAAACCCATAGCAGATTTTGGGCATGCAGAAGAGGATGCCCTGATGTGTCCCAGACTAACTCTTCTCACTGAATTGGGCGTGTGGTGCATAGTGTCTAAACAATGCAATTTTGACATTTGCTGTCATGTCTTTTGCTTGTCAAATAGTCTAAAAGTTTCATAGCTTCAGCTCTCAAATCTAAGAGGAAAAAATTCTGATTTAGAGAAGGGTGTGAGAATCCAATATTCTTATAATACTAACACAAGTGGAATTCATAAATTCTGAAAAATAGATCTTGGGAAGCCGAAGATTTGAGTCTATGGAACTTCATCTTGTAAAGATTTTTGGTTTAAGTAATTCTAATGGTGTCCAAGTGTGGCTTCTAATGGAATAATAATTTTCTAACCTATTTGGACATTTTATAAGTACACATATGTAGTTGTATGTACTTGGAATATGACTAAAAATAATAAGAAAATCCAACAAGACTCTTACAAATAGCCTAGATCACAAACTAATCACATATTTCTGAAATTAAAGTGTATTTAATTTATGTTAAATTGAAATGGAAGCTATACATCAAATATCATTTTTTAACATCAAAATCTGAACTTACTGCATACAATTGGATTATTGGACATTAAACACTGTTTATTCTTTCTTTAAATAGCAATAAGAAAAAATAGTAATGATGAATTATCCTTGATGGTTTGACTTGGGTCCAAGCAAAGTATCTATTATATCTCCCTGAGAAAAAAAAGGTCAAACAATTACAATGCAATAAAATATAAATTAAGAGGTAAAGGAGTTTTTAAAATGTCATTTAAAATTTATAACTTAGTGATACATATAAAGGGCATTCAATAAGATTGTAATAAGGAAACAAACTAAAGTAAGTTTAAATACTAACAGTTACTTCCTAGTATAAACCTTTTTCTTATGAAAGACTCCGTTAATGGAGTTTCATAAACAATTTTATAACTATTCAGTTAAGAGATCATTTTGAAAGCTCCTGTTTAGCCTCCTGTTTGGTTGTAAGTACCATAAAATCTGATGAATAGGTTTTTTTGAATCTCCCAGAAAAATAACCCTTAATCTTTAAAATATAATGACCAAAAGCATTATTCCTATTCCTATAGGAATAGGAAACATATTCCTATTAGGAAACTGTATTTATTATTCCTATTAGGAAACTGTATTTATTATTAATGTATGTAATATATTTGTTACAAGGAAATTTTGCTTACCAGCATTGAAATCATTAACACATATACAATACACATATATACTCACACACACATTGTCAAAAATGTTTCAGACTCTCAGCTTAGCCTTCTGCTTTCAGGGCATACTGCTCAAAATAAAAGATGTCTCTAATGTATATATATTCCACATCTTCTTTGTCCATTCATCATTGATGGACATTTGGGCTGTTTCCATAATTTGGCCACTATAAACATCAGGGTGCATGTTTTCATTCAAATTAGTATTTTTGTATTCTTTGGGTAAACATCTAGTACTGCAATTGCTGGATCATAGGGTAGTTCTATTTTTAACTTTTTGAGGAGCCTCCATACTGTTATCCAAAGTAGCACCAGTTTGCATAAAAAAGAATGAAATCTTGCCATTTGCAACAATATGGATGGATAGAGAGTATTATACTAAGCGAAATAAGTCAGTCAGAGAAAGACAAATAACATATGATTTCACTCATATGTGAAATTTAAGAAGCAAAACAAATGAGTATAGGGGAAGAAGAGAGAGAAGGCAAACCAAGAAACAGACTCTTAACTATAGAGAATGATGGTTACCAGAGAGGAGGTTGGTGGGGGTGATGGTTAAATAGATGATGGGGATTAAGGAGTGTACTTGTTGTGATAAGCATCTGGTGTTGTATGGAAGTGTGAATCACTAAATTCTATGACTGAAACTAATATTTTACTGTATGTTACCTAATGGGAATTTAAATAAAAACTTAAAAAAATCTAATTTATTGAAATCCAAACACAAGGATGAAAGTTTTTCTTCCACATTCCAATCTATATTCCATACTTTTACTAACTATAAATATGTCCACTAGGAACACAGCTTTTATATTTGTGTTTAAATAAATAGGTGTTGGGATCCCTGGGTGGCGCAGCGGTTTGGCGCCTGCCTTTGGCCCAGGGTGTGATCCTGGAGACCCAGGATCAAATCCCACATCGGGCTCCCGGTGCATGGAGCCTGCTTCTCCCTCTGCCTATGTCTCTGCGCCCCTCTCTCTCTCTCTCTGTGTGACTATCATAAATAAATAAAAATTAAAAAAAAATTAAAAATAAATAAATAAATTTGTGTTAATGTTACATAAATCATAACATATTGTACTTCTATAATTTCCTTCAATTTGCTTTTATCACTCAACTTTTTAAAATATTTATTCAAAATTTGTCATAATAACAAATTGAAATATGTATTATTTAAATTTTTATACTAGAGTCACTCATGTGAATATGCCATACTTTATCCAAAGTTTCACTGATGATAATCTAAGGTTGTTTCCAATTTATCAATATAGAAACAAGGCAGGTATGAACATTCTTTTCTCATTAGCATGTCTTTCAGATCACTACTAACAAATTAAAATCTTGGGAGATATACAGAATCCAAACAGATGTCATTTAAACATCTTATAGATGGATTTTAGTCCTACCAGATAGGAAAAGTGAAGTAATTCAGAATTACTGACACAGTAAATAAATGACTTGAAATCAATTGTGTGATATAACAACCCATGGAGAGTTGCACCTTCCATGAGGAGATGGAGGATGTAGGTAATAGGTAAGTTGACTCCAGGAGACATGCACTCTGAGACCACTCCATTTGGAGGGCATTGACAAATCGACTATAGAACAGGGCTCAGTGTGGCAGCCAAGGTATTTAGCAAAATCTCTTTAAACATCCACAGTCAATATGCACATCAAGCAGTTGAGAAAATAATCTCCAAAACTACTCAGAATGCTTCATTTGTTTATTGGAAAACCTATTCTTACCCTGAGAAGAATAATTATTGTATATAGAAATAATGCAGCAAACCAAACAGATAATTTTAATATTTTTTTGTATTAAGGAACTTGTATATATTTGGAATTTTCAATATTCGTTATTTAAAAGGGAATTTGCCATTATTTGATTGCTTAGCAAATAAATTTGTGATTTTTTTTTAATTTTTTTCTTAAGGTTTTATTTATTTATTCATGAGAGACACAGAGAGAGAAAGGCAGAGACACAGGCAGAGGGAGAAACAGGCTCCATGCAGGGAGCCCGATGCGGGACTCGATCCCGGGTCTCAGGATCGCGCCCTGGACCAAAAGCAGGTGCTAAACCGCTGAGCCACCCAGGGATCCCCTAAATTTGTGATTCTAATTTAAATGTGTAATTGCGTAATTAATTTAGACCCGTAATAATAGATGGAAATATTATTAATTTGTATAAGGCATTGGAACAATTAAGAAAATTTAAGATCCATCATATTCAAAATTTAAAATTTATTAAATTGGGATGCCTGGGTGGCTCAGCAGTTAAGCATCTGCCTTCGGCTCAGGGGGTGATCCTGGAGTCCCAGGATCGAGTCCCGCATCGGGCTGCCTGCATGGAGCCTGCTTCTCCCTCTGCCTATGTTTCTGCCTTTCTCTCTCTGTCTCTCATGATTAAATAAAATATTTTAAAATAAATAAATAATAAAATTTATTAAATTAATAAGAATTCCTTAAATATCAGATTTGTTTGCCCATAAGACAATTGAAGTACTTAAAAATCTGTATTAAATTTATAAATTAAACAGATTTAAAGAAACTTAATTGTTACAAAAGCTTATTTAAAGTATGTATTAATATTTGTTGGACTTATAAACAGAATAATAAAATATATCCTCTAAATGTAAGAGCTTAAGGTGAACTAAGACTTTTAGAAATTTTACAACATATTTGAATATCAACATTTTAAGCAAAAGTAGATTGAATAATCATGAACAAAAGAAATTTTAAGACAAAGGAGAAAGAAAGAAAGAAAGAAAGAAAGAAAGAAAGAAAGAAAGAAAGAAAGACCTCACCTTGATGCCTTACATATACCTCCTAGTATACATGTGCAGGACATTCTCTGTGGTATCACTGGCTTGTATGGTATATGAATTTTCAGCTTTATTGAATTGTTCTCCAAAGAGGCTATGCTAATTCAGATTCCTATGACCTTTGCATAAAAGTTCCTAATTCCCTACAACTTTGCTGATACTTAATATTGGCTAATATTTTAGTTTTTGTAAATCCAATCAGTTTGAACTGATATCTTGTATAATTTCAATTGTATCTTTCTTCATTAATAGTGAGAATAAATGTTGCTTTTAAGTTTATTTAATCTTCCAGTTTCTTTCTTATGAATTAGGATGTTATACATTTGCCCTTATAAGAAATTGAATTGTTCTTATTGTTTTGTTTTTGTTTTTTTTTGTTGTTCTTATTGTTTAATAGGAGTTTTTTATATATAATGGACATTATGTGTTTCATAATCTTGGAAATTTCTTCTTTTAATCTGTTTCTTTCAACTTGGCATATAGAATCTTGAACAGAAGGTATTAATTTTGACATAATAATCATAAAAGAATACTTGAGTTTTATTGAGAGCTTACTATGTACCAATAATAGTTCTAATCACTCTGTACCCATTAACTCATTTAATCTTTCTAACAATCTTTGATTCTGGTAGCAATATTATGCCCGTTTTACAGATAAGAAAACAGGAAAAAACTAAAAAAAATAGGGGATATTTTTGGTCTTTTTTAAATCCATCTTTGCCTTTAGATCATTAAGACATTATCCTACATTTCCTTCTAGTGGTTTGTTTTATTTTTCAGTCTTCAGTTCCTTTAGAGTTCACCATCATACAAAATGTGAGGTAAGAGTCTTATTTCATTTTCCTCCCAAGTCACTTCTAGAATTATAAACCTTAAATGGCTTTTTATTTTCTATAAAATGAAGATCAAACTCCTCATCATGGCAAATGACCCAACTGGCCCATTTGTCACTTTTCTCTTAAGCAATCTCTTTACCAGTCAAAAGGTCTACTCATCTTTTCCTTAAAATGTCATGGACCTTTCCAATGCTGTATCTTTGCTCAAGGCTTTCCCTCTGTCTGAAGTAACAGTTCTATTTGCTTGTCTGCAAGGAGAATTTCTAATCCTCTGAAGCACAGTTAAAACTTAACCTCCTGTGTGAAAGGCTTCCCCTAAGTATTCTCATATGTTTTGCTTTCCTTCTTCCCACTCTTCTTTCAAGAGTCAAATTTCCTACTCTGTGCTTCTATTGGAGTTTTTTTTTAATTATTATTTCAGTGTTTGACTCAATTATATTTTTGTACATATATTTTCCTTTCTTAGAAACCATGAGCCTTTTATAAGTGTGTTCATTTAGACATTTTTCAATATTTGCTGAGTGCCTATTATGTGCTAGCACTGTGCTTGAATATACAAGTTTCCAAGTAGTTCAGACTAGGAAGAAAGACATATATACAAAATATTGTAGTTTATATATTGATAAATTATTATAGGTCTTGATAAGTACTGTAGATATATATGTGATGAAAAGAATGAACATGCCCATAGGTTTCTCTGCTACCACTACCCCAATACACACTAACAAAGATTTTTAAATAATTCAACTCCCTCTCCTCACTGCCCAAGTTTAGAATATGTGGGCAAGTTCTTAGAGCTCTTATGGGATAGAACTGATGGAATCACAGAGATAGAAAGGGATGAATTTAGGCTTTGATGCTACATTTAGAATTTGAGGGATATGTAGAGAAGAAGAAAAAGATTACTATGAACTAAGTATTTTTTAATGTTTTTGAGAGACTTGAATAAAGAATAGAATTCTCTGATTCCTTCTGGCTGTTGGGCTGTGTATCTTAAACAAATGTGAGCATAAACATCTCAGTAGCTATTAAAATAGCTTATACTCAACAAATATGTGAGAAATTAAAAATATCAAAATGTTTTACGTCATGAAAAAATAAGCCAGTGGGGTCTCATTCCTCAGAGCAGACTAAAACTATGATGTAAGAACATGAATTTTGGGAAGAAAATACTTTATGTAGTGTAATGATTTGGAAAATAGATAATAAAAACAAAGACTAAAATTCATTCATGATCCTAACACTAAGAAATAAACTTTCTGATATGTTGAATTTTCCTCCAGTTTTTCAAGGCATATTTATTCAAGAAATACTTATTGAACTTAATACTTCTAAGACACTGTACTAGGCTATAGGAATATAGTTCAGAACAAAAGACAAAATTCACTATTTACATGCAGCTTACATTCTAACTATGGGAGACAGGCAATTACAAATCAATAAAAGAATATGATATATTTGAAGATAAATGTTAGTAAGAAAATAAGTCATAAAAAAGTATTAAATTGGAAGTGTAGGGAAGAGTAGAGGTGCAATTTAAAATAAGGTAGCCAAGGACGATTTCACCAAGAAAGTGACTATATTTGAGCAAAGATTTAAAGTGGACGGAAGAACAAACACTGGATTTTAAGTAGGAGAAATGACAAGTCCAAAGTCCTAAGCAAGCATCTATCTATCTATCTATCTATCTATCTATCTATCTATCTATCTATCTATCATTTACAGTCCAATATGGATGGGATAAACCTCCACCTTCTACATGCAACCCAAATCTAATCAACACACCTGACTTCTCTGGCCACATTTCTCTCTGGTTGGATATTTAGATTATTTCTTTTTCTTTTCTTTCCTTATCCTGTTACAGTTATGCTATAATTAATTTCTTTGATTGCCTTTATGAATATTTCTATAGAATGGAATTCCAGAAGTATAACAGTCTTGGTTCAGACTGCCAAATTTCTTCCAAAGAAGTAATACCGCATTATTCTAACATTTCTCTGTATAATAGAAAATGTATCTTATCAGATGCTTGCCAGTACTGAGTAGTCCCATTAAATTAAAAAAAAAAAAACTTGGGCACCTGGGTAGCTCAGCTGGTTGAGCATCCAACCCTTGGTTTCACCTCTAGACATGATCTCATGGGTCCTGAGATTGAGCCCTGTGTCAGGCTCCATGCTCAGCAGGTAGTCTGCTTGAAGATTCTCTCCCTCTGCCCTTCCCCCTACTCATGCTCTCTCTCTAAAATAAATAAATAAATCTTAAAAAACTTTTTTTAAATAAAAAGAAGGAATCTTTTCCTTCTTTAAAAAACCTTTAATTTCACATATGAGAATGCTACCACATTTTAATTTGATGTAATAAATTTTTTATTTCTATAATTATCAGTGAGGTTTAATTTTAAAATATACTTGCTAGTCATTTTTTGTGTGTGAACGAACTGTTCCTGACCATTACACACTCTTCTATTATAGTCTTAGTGTATTCTTATGGATTTTTTCATTTTTAAAATATTTTAATATGTTTATCATATTGATGGTAATATTTACTAGATTTATCCATAAAATAATAACTTAAACATAAAAAGCAAAAAATTTTAGGGCACCTGGGCGGTGCAGTGGGTTGCACCAGCTCTTAGTTTCAGCTCAGGTTGTGATCTCAGAATCATAAGATCAAGTCCTTCATCTGGCTCCATGCTCAACACAGAGTTTGCTTGCAGTTCTGTCTCCCTCTACCTCTATCCCTTACTCCCCCCTCTTTCAAATAAATTAATTAATCCTTAAAAGATAAAAATAAAATTAAAAAACAAAAAAAAATGGAAAAAATACCTTAAAAATAATAGGCATCCAGTATACTGATTGCCTGTCAAAGTTTTACAATAAAGTTTTCGTATTTGAAGAGTAGAGTAAAGGAACAGGATAACACTACAGAAGCAAAAAAACAAATGCCTATTTGGGGAACATTAGATAATATCTAAAATATTACCATTTCTTATAAAAGTCTTTGAATATTTATAGTGAACTTCTTCAGCTATATTCAATAATTATTATTCCCAACAGTATACTAGGCACAACTTTAAGGTATTCCATGTAACATTTATAATTATTATGGTATGATATTATCATTTTCATTTTACAGAGAAAAATCATGAGGCTCAAAGAAAATAAGCCTAATAGATACCATGCTTAGTAGGTAGCAACTCTTAAAACTTATGTTATTTCCATTGCACTACACTTAACATATGTAAGAAATGTAAATTCCTTGTATGATACAAAAAATTACATAAAATAACAAAAATTTTGTCACGTGAGTCTTACCTGGCCAGAATCCAAAGCAGTGGGCATATTTCTTAGTTCATACACAGCAACCTGTCCATCACTGTCACCCACTAGAAGGCAATCTGTTTGTTTGGCAAAGAGAACAGTTGTGAACTTGATTCCAGGGTTAGCAACATTCACAATGAGAGGATCCAAACTGAAATAAAATATTTTATTTTAAATTCAGTTGTCGTTAATACATTCTTTTTGTATACAGATTAAGAAAAGTCAGATATTTTTTGTGACTTCAAATAACAAAACAAAGCTTCTTTTTTTTTTTTTTTTTTTTTTATAATTTTTTTTAATTTTTATTTATTTATGATAGTCACAGAGAGAGAGAGAGAGGCAGAGACACAGGCAGAGGGAGAAGCAGGCTCCATGCACCGGGAGCCTGACGTGGGATTCGATCCCGGGTCTCCAGGATCGCGCCCTGGGCCAAAGGCAGGCGCCAAACCGCTGCGCCACCGAGGGATCCCCCAAAACAAAGCTTCTTAAGTAACTTTCCAAAATCAAAATAACTTATTTCTCAACTCCTTATTCAATCAAAACTTTCATTTCTTCAGTGAACTAATTTCAAATAAATAAATTCAAGAAGTTCACAATTAAGATGTGAACTCATAAGTTTAAACTCCTGTGCTGGTTAGCTTGGTGAGGCTATGGTACTCAGTTGTTTGGTCAACACCAGTCTGCACTTTGCTGTGAAAGTGTTTTGTTTAAAAATGATTAATATTAAGACCAGTAGAATTTGAATAAAGCAGATCACCCTCCATAAGATAGGCAGATCTTATCCAACTTGTTGAAGACCTTAAGAGAAAAGATTGAGTTCCCTGAAGTGGAATAAAATTCTGCCTCTGGACTGCCTTCAGACTCATGACTGCAACATGGACTCCTGATGGAAATTCTAGCCAGCCAGCCTGTAGCACAGACTTGGCACTTGCCAGGCCCCACAGTCATGTGAGTCATTCCTTAAAATAAATCTTTCTTTTTATTGCTTCTGTTTTTCTGGAGAACCTTGACTAATACAACTTCTTAAGTAATAAATGTCTTTTAAAAGAAGGGTATTTTGATCCAAATAAAACTCTGGAACATAAAAGAATACTTTGAACAAGAATTTTTTTCTATTCCCCAATCATCCAAAGCAATCCACTGATGCCCTAAAACACAAAAGAAGCAGTAACTAGTATACATCTGAAGGAATGTCTTGAGAACTGCAGTTTTACCCAAAAAATTAAAATGATAGGTGGGATGAGTTAGGTAATCATTTTATACATTAGTCATTTCATATTTAAATATAAATTGTTTTGTGATATAATCCTTGTTTTGGGGGTTCAAACTGTTTTATAGTATAAGTCATGGCAAATTTTAGAGTTACTAAGTTATTAACTTCTAGGGAAAAAAAATTGCCATTAAGAATAAGTTCACGGAATTTTGTGTGACTGATTTTAACTAAGAATGCATCCCTCTGGGGCAGCCCCGGTGGCTCAGTGGTTTAGCGCCGCCTGCAGCCTAGGGCGTGATCCTGGAGACCCTGGATCGAGTCCGCGTCGGGCTCCCTGCATGGAGCCTGCGTCTCCCTCTGCCTGTGTCTCTGCCCCCCCCCCCCGTCTCTATGAATAAATAAATAAATGAAAATCTTAAAAAAAAAGAAGCTTTAAAAAAAAAAGAATGCATTCCCCTGATTCTTGCTAATGATCAGCATAAAAATCTACAGTAAGTTCCAACTGAAGAACTCACCTCATTAAACACTTTATTCCTGTAATGTATAAATTTCTATTTTAAAAAGAAAGATGGGTCTAGAGGATACTCTAGTAACTTTGGTATAACACATTAAAATTTTTAATTAAAAAAAATAAAAATAAAATTTTTAATTAAATGCATGGCTCTTTGAATATGTTTTAAAGAAGATAAGAGAATAAGTAAATATTGTAAAAAAATTATTTTGTTCCTTTTATCTTATTGTAGAAAATCTTCAGTTAAAAACAATTAACTGCCTGTCTGCTTCTTCTATAAACTAGGCAATAAAAACGAATTCAAGGTAGCTATGATATACCAGCCTGTAAAAGTTTTAGATGAATATGGCAACCTATTTTTCATTTAAATATTTTTAAAACCACATATGGGAGGGCACCTGGGTGGGTTAGTCCATTAAGCATCTGCCTTTGGCTCAGGTCATGATCCCAGGATCCTAGGATTCAGCCCCTGCTGAGCAGGGAGCCTGTATCTCCCTATTCCCTGCTTCTTGTGCTCTCTCTCTCTCTCGTTCTCTCAAATAAATAAATAAATAAATAAATAAATAAATAAATAAATAATCTTTAAAAAAATAAAACCACCTATGGTATAAGTCATTAAAATGAATATAGCTTCCTGGCATATATCTTTTATTCATAAGGACTCTCACAGTATAAACTATTACTTGTTTTTAAAATAACTACAATTCTCTCTAACAAATACCAAAACTATCAGGTATCATTTAGTTTGAACTGCTTCTACAAGAAATATCACCAAGAAAAACATTAACACTTACGTGCTGGTGTGAAGGTCCCAAATCTCTACTCTGCTCTCATTTGCAGCTGCAAATATATAGGAGGATTTTGGAGACCAGGCAACATCATAAACAACATAAGTAGTTGGATAAAAGCTCAAAAATGGCTTGGTGTTCTCCTGTTGCCATATAATAACACCCCAATCTGCAGAACAGCTTAAGAACACATCATGACAAAATGGATTCCACGCTATTTTATATACTGGACCCTAGAATAAGACAAATAAATTAAAACACATACATATATAATATTTGACATCTTATACTTTAAATCTGACCAACAAATTAAAATGCTAAGATTTCTAGAAGACTTATGCACTATGCATTGTGTATTATTTTAACTGAGAGAGTAAGGTCATAAATTGAATCTTCTCTAAATTATGCCATACAGAAACATAAAGATATAGTTGTTATAATACTAACTAAATATCAACACATATTATACTCATTTACCTTAAAAAATATAAGGAACATTTTAAAAAATGAAGGATCAAATGAAGAAAACATAGATGGAATAATCACAAAAGATACAGAAAATAAGTATATGCTAGATATATTTTTGCCTTGGGATCAGCATGTTACCATAAGCAAAGTCTCTTAGAAACAAATAAAAATTGTAACTTCCATAATTTGCAAGAAGAAATCAAGAATATCTAGAAGCTAGAGGTGCCTGGGTGGCTCAGTTGGTTCAGTGTCCAACTCTTGATTTCGGCTCAGGTGTCATGATCTCAGGGTGGGGGATATCCAGGCCCATGTGGGGCTCCATGATGAGTGTAGAGCCTGCTTAAGATTCTCTCACACCTTCTCCCTCTGCTACCCCCACCCTCCAGCTCCAGCTCACATGCACGACTTCTCTCTCTCTAAAAAAAATGTAAGAATATCTAGAAGTCAGATAAGATGCCCCATGCATTATTGATGGTTTCCATACAAGAAAGCACTTAGGTTGGTAATGTTAACTCTGAAGTTGTAAATTTATTGCATGTTAAAGGTACTGTGTATAATACTATTTTTTCAGAAATATCAAAAATAAGTTTTCCATACCTACTATAATTAAACCAACCTTATGTCCTCTGTAAGTATCTAGGTATTGTTCATTATAGGAACAAGAACATTTGTGAATATGGCCTTCTTCAGTGCCAGCCAAATAGATATTTGTATCCTATAACACAAAACATTTAAATGTATTGGCTTGTGATACATTAGTAAATGTACTAAATAGAAAGTTAGACCCCTTAAGATCTATTAAAATCAATTCTAAGACCAAAACTAGAAATACTATCTTGATCATAGTTGTCTGTTGTCTTTTTCTTTCTATCATGATTAAACTTTCTATAATTAAACTACCTGAAAGGCTACTATGCAAAGAAAATATAGATTTGTTCTTTGCTGGAATAGAGGGAAGAACTTAGATCCTGTCTAGACATTAAATGGATAAGCACCGGCTTAAAATAAGGAAGAAAATTTCTAATATTTAGAGTTACCTAACAATGGAACTAGCAATCCAGGGAAATAGTAAGTGTTCTTTCACCAGAACTAGTCAAAGAAAAAAAAAAAAAAAAGAACTAGTCAAAAAGAAGACAGACAACTTAACAGTAAATAATGCTGAAGAAATGATTCTTGCTTAGAGTGAAAGATTGAACTAAATGGAGTCTCAAGGATTTTTAACTAAACGTATGTACTAAGTAGAGATTTTAAGTGTATTTCCTACTATGAAGTCATAGTCAAAAGGTCTGAAAGTCGGGTTCTATGCCCTATGTAGAGTTACCTGGGAGCATTTTAGAGATGCAAAATCTTAGGCCCTACCCTAGACCTAAGGAATCAGAATCTGCATTTTAACAAGATTCCCAAGTAATTTTATGTACATTAAAATTTGAGACACATTGCTCTAGTATATACCAGTACTTAAAAATGCAACTACTAGATTATGGATTATAAGTAGTTTTAAATAACACAATAAAGTACATATTTTTTCCTAAACTAGTATTAACAATTTTTATTCAGCAGTATATAGAAGTCCCTTTGATCCACATTCTCATCAACAGTTGGATTATATTAGAAATCTTAAATTTTGCCATTGTATTAGGTATAAAATTATATCTAATTGTTTTAAGTTCCATTTTTATGAATATTAACAAGGTTGAGCACATTTTTATGTTTAATGCCCGTTTGCATTTCTTCTTCTGTTGATGTCTCTTGACTATTTTATACATATTTTTTATATTCATTTATATAAAAGTTCTTTATATATCCTATTACATATGCTTTGTCTGTTATACATGTTGCAAATATCTTCTCCAAGTGTATGGCTTACTTTTTCCTTTCTTTAGTGTCTTTTGATAAACCGAAGTTATCATTCTAATGTAGCTGGTTTATAACATTTTATATAGTTAGTATTTTTTGTGCTTTGTTTTAGAAATATTTCCTACTTTGAGGTGATAGAAATGTTTTCCTACATCTTCTTCTAGAAGTTTTTTGTGTATGATAGAATTGATATCTAATTCCATTTTTATATGGATAATGATTATCCCAACACCATTTGTAAGTAGGTTATCTTTCCTAGAGATCTTCAAGGTCACTGTCTTAGAGTTGTGTTTGTCAGTCTATAAAATCTGGCATTTCCATTCAAGAGATTTATTGGTCAGTTCACTCAGAAACAGAAATGGGCAGAGATTTAAGTTGAACTATGATACAGTTGCAACAAAGGGCTCAGCCCAACCTCTAAGAAGTTCTGGAGTTGAGATAGCGTTTGAGTTCTGCCTCCAGGCAAGGAGGCCAGACAAGTTATACCACCATCCCCCACCCCCTCCACCACCACCAATAAACTAGTGAAGCAAAATGATAAGACTCAAACCAAAACCATATCAAAATCAAACTAAATGATAGTAGTCTATCACAATTAAAAGACAGACACTGTAAGATTAGATAAAAAAGCAAGATCCAAGAATATGCTACCAACAAGAAATGTACTTTTAGACATAGATTAAATGTAAAAGGATGGAAAATGATTTAAGAAACAAAACAAATGAACATGAGTGGAGGCAATGAAAGGAAAACCAAGAAACAGACTCTTAACTATAGAAAACAAACTGATGGCTGCCAGAGGGGAGGTGGGTAGAGGGATGGGTTAAATAGATGCTGGGTATTAAGGAGGGCATTTGTTGTGATGAGTACCAGGTTTTGTATGTAAGTGTTGAATCACTAAATTCTACACATGAAACTAATATTACACAGTATGTTAACTGACTGGAATTTAAATACAAACTTAATTTTTTAAAAAGATATAACATGCTAACACTAGTTAAAAGAAAGCTGGTGGCTGCAGTAATATCAGACTAAGTTGATTTCAGAATACATATTATCCATTATAGATAAGGCCACTTTACAATGATAAAAGAGTTGATTAGTCAAGAGAACATAACAATCTTACACATTTATATACCTAAAACAAACCTTTGAGTAACATAAGGCAAAAACAGAGAGAATTACAAGGAAAAAATAGACAAATCCACAATTATGGCCAGAGATTTCAGTACCTTTCTCTTAATAAGTGGAAGAAATAGGCAGAAAATCAGCAAGGATATAGTCAACTTGAACACCTTTAACCAATCTAACCTGATTTATCATTCATAGAACACTCCACCCAATAGCAGCAGAATATACATTTTTCTGAAGTGCACAGGGAACTTTACATGTTAATATCACATTCTGGGCTTTAAAACAAATCTCAATAAGTTCAAAAGGATTCTGTTTATAAAAAGTTTGTTCTCTGATCATGATGGAATTGAATTAGAAATCAAGAACAGAAAGATCCATGCAAAAGCCCCAAATATTTAAAAACTAAATAGCATGCTTTGAAATAATCCATCCATCAAAAAAGAAATCAAAGAAGAAATTAGAAAGTACTCTGAATAGAATGAAAATGTAAATATAACATATTAGACTTTGTGGGATGCTGCCAAAGCAGTACTTAGAGAAAAAGTTATAGCACAAATGCCTCTATCATAAAAGAAGAAAAGTCACAAATCAATGATCCTGGCTTCCACCTGAATAAGCCAGAAAAATAAGAGCAAAAAAAACCAAAGGAGAAGAAAGAAAATAAAGATCAAAGTGGAAATCAATTATATAGAAAACAGAAAAACAATAGCGAAATTCAGAGAAATCAAAAGCTAGTTCTTTGAGATCAGTAACACTGATAAATTTCTAGCTAGATTAAAGAAAAGAGAAAGAAAAAAGAAGACAAAAATCACTAATAGTAGAAATTAAAGAGGTGACGTATTTTAAAGAGTACATATTTTATAGCTATTAAAAGACATTAAGGAAATATTATGCCATTAATTTTAATAACTTAGATGAAATACATTCCTTGAAAGACACAAATTACCAAAATTCACTCAAGAAGAAATAGATAATGATACTAATAACACTGTATCTACTGAAAATTTTAATTTCTAGGTAAAAGTTAAAAATCTTCCCAAAACTCCAGGCCCAGATGCTTTATTAATCTCATCAAATATGTAATGAAGAAATAATACTAATTGTACAAAATTCTTTCAAAAAAAGTAAAGAGGGCATACTTTTCAACTCATTCTAGAGGATTACTCTAGTATCAAAACCAGACAAAGACCTTACAGAAAAGAAAACTATAGATGACTATCCCTTAAAGTTGAAAAATCTTAAATAAAATTTTAGCATATTAAATTCAACAGTAGATTAAAGGTATAAATCATGGTCAAGTTTCTCTTAGAAACAAAAATTTAAAAATTAATGTAATTCATCATATTAACAAACTTGAAAGAAAAATTGTATAATCATTGTCATATGTAAAAAAAGCATTTGATGAAAACCTAACACCATCCCTGATACAAGTCTCAACAAATAGTAATGCAACAGGATCTCCTCAATGTGATTGATTGCATCTACATAAAAACCTCAGCTTACATCATACTTAATAGTAAAAGGACTGAATGCTTTCTCTCTAAGGTCAGAAACAAGAGAGAGATGTTTGTTTTCACCACTTCTATTCATGATTGTGCTGGAAGTTCAAGCCAGGATAATCAGGAAAGAAAGAAAAAAATAAATGGTTAAATTCTTTATTTACAGACTACATGATTATCTCAAATTCTTTATGCCAAGGACATTTCTAGGACACCAGACTAGGATTTCTCAATCCAGCACCGTTGATATTTTATATATATATTCCTCCTCCTCCTCCTTCTTCTCCTTCCCCTTCCCTGTTCCCTTCTCCTTCTATGCAGAGGAAGGCAGTAGTTGTCCTGTGCATTGTAGGATGTTTAGCGGCATCCCTGGACTCTGCCCACTAAATGCCAATAGCATTCCTTCCCATGTCCCACCTCTTGGACCTGAAACAACCAATAATAATATCGAGACATTGCAAAATGTACTGTGGTGGTAAAATATGTCCCTTCCTGCCAACATTGAGAACCACTGTTCTACAGTCAAGGTGAAATGTGAATTACAAGAATTTGAGAATGAAAGCAGTTAAGAATACAACTATAGTGGTAAAAATGAAACATAGGGCCTGAACTACACTAGCAGTGAGTAGGCTTGGACTAGAAGGAGCAGGACAACAAGACATGAAAATCATTTGGATGATTAGGTAGAAAAGAGTAAGAGCTCAAGTTTTGGTTTGCATAACTAGGTGGATGACGGTGTCACTAAAGAGATGACCATATCACATGTAACAGAAAACATAAGAGGATACGTTTCCTTTGAAGTCTGTCAGTTGCTGAATTTTGATTCCAAAGAACTTCCATAAAAAAGAATGAGAAAAAGTAGGACTTCATTAACTGTGCTTTGATTTGATTCTGGCCTGATAAGCATGAACTTAACTGGTCTTCCCAATCCTCAGGATCATGAGAGGCACCACTCACATTGAAATAGAGGACTTTATAGTAGATTTGATTTCTATTAATATGATGAAGCAGCAGAACACCCAAGAGGAGTAAGGAGGGGCATTCAAGTTAAACATGAAGTTGAAAAGAGAATCCTTTCACAGTTCCTCAGAAATACAGACCTTTCCTCTAGAAGGCAGAGGAAGGCATAGGGCAGCCAACTGGAAGTTGCCACTCTACTTTAGTTTGGCAGCTATGCCTACGTTTGTTTTGCTTTGTTTTACCTATAAGGCACAGTATTTATTAACATGCTAAAACTTTGTCTTGCTTTATATCTTAATACACTTCAAACACTGGAAGTTGTTATATGCAATAGTAAATAATGGATTGAAATAATTTACCTTAGGATGAAAAGCAAAACACATTCCAGGAGCCTGCCGAGATATCAGAGCTTCACCTTTTTTTTCCGTTTCCCCTCCTTTTTTGCTGCTGCTAGCGGTAGTTCGCTTCAAACGCATCAAATCTTTATTGAAAGAAAAAAAACTTTTATCTTATTTACCACACGAAAAAGTATTGTATATACAAAGTGTATCCCTTCTAGAAAGAATAGTGTGATTTCTGCCCTCTTTTGCACGTGATTAGGTTGAAATTAGCAAATACCAGAACAAGATGCTTAGAAAAACAATGACCAAGCCCAGTTTCTTTCTTATGTAGCCAAACCAAAATTGGTCACCTCTTACATATGGCTCACTAGGAATTTTAAGGCAGCACAGGACAAGAGAAAGATCATTTGATTGATAGATATATATGTATTTATGCGTTCTTTTTACCATGACTGTCTAGTCCTTTCCGTATAACCCATTTGGAGATTCTTCCATCTGCTGATATAGAAACAAGTATTTCTCTTTTGTCATCACCTGTTGTCCCTCGATCTTGTTCTATCCATTGTAATTGCCATACAGGTCCCAAATGTTTTTGAGGTGATTCACTAAAACGGGGAAAAGCACTAAATATAGAATCACTGTCATAATTTTTGAAAGGACATGAGTATAAGTCATAAGGACAACGCCCTGAAGCACTGCAACCTACTTACAGAATAATGCCTTTATTGTTCAAAACTGGATTTTTACTTAAAGTATTTTGAAAAATGGGGAAAATAATCATTTTGTCACGTAATATTTTTTTGGTATTCTCATTTCTTACAAAAGGAAAATTTTACTGACTTAATCATATTAATTGCCATAACAGAAACAAAAGAAAATATTTTCTTTCTTTTCAGAACATATTTTCCTTACTCCACTCATTTACTTTTTCCTAGATAAGTTATATAAACTTATATTGGATACATTGAGTTTAAGTATCTTCACCTTCATATGAATTTTTTTCATAAATGAATAAATTATTTAAGTCTTATTTAAGTAAACAATTACCTCACCTTTCTTTCTGTTTCTGGCTTGCCCACTGGCTTGATTCTCTCTAGGGCTGAAATTTAACATTTTTCTGAAGAATTAAAATCAGATTACTGATTTTTTATGCAAATCTTCCAAAGCAATCATTCTGAATCTTTTAAATATCATACAGCTTTGATAATTTGGTACAAATATTAGACCATCTTCCCAGAAACAAGCCCATGCTTACAAAACATTGCAAATAATTTCAAAGTTAAACTTAAGGGCCCTGCTTTACTGACCATTTTCAGCTCTAAGTTTATTCAAACACTAATATAAATATACTACTTCACTTTTGCCCCACTGGTATCTGATCTATTACAAAAGCCTAACATATTTAATATCTTTCACTTTTGATTTTTTTATTTTCTTAATATCACTCGTTTATTTATTCTTAATTAAACACAATATAATCCTCCTCCATGCCTGATATTATGTGCCATGCTGCAGATACAAAGCTAAGACTTAATTCTTGATTTAAGTTGCTTACAGCCTCTTCAGAAGATATATATGTAAACAATATATATGCAGTATAATAAGTGATATAATAACTAATACAAGTGCACAAAATAACAGAATGGAAAGGTTACTTGGAGGAGGTGACACCAAAGCAATAAAAAGTATACTTTCAGTTACAAGATACTTAAGTTCTGGAGATCTAATTTACAGTATGATGATCATAGTTAATAATACAGTACTGTATACTTGAAATTTGCAAAAGGGTAGATCTTAAGTCTTCTTACCACACACACACAAAAGGCAACTATAAGAGGTGATGGATGTATTAATCAATTTGACTGTAGTAAACATTCCACAATGTATACATTATTAAATAATTACATTGTACCCATTTAAAAAATCACATCATATAACCTAAATGAATATAATTTTTATTTGTCAATTATACCTCAACAAAGCTGGGGAAATTTAAAATTTTTTTAAAGAATAAGCATAAACTGTCAAGGAAGTTTGGTGAGGTGGACAGAGAACATGCAGATTTTAGAAAAGAGCATTCTAGCTAGAGAGATAACATGAGGAACTATTAAATATTTGAAAAATAATAGTATCACTTTCAACAACAATATAAACATTCACTCAAAACTAAATAACATTGGAGTAAATTTTTACTTCTCCCTAAAAAAGTACATATTATATGTTTACCTAATTCTTGGATTCTCACCTACTATCCAGAACTGGAACATTACTGTTGCTCTGTACATTATAAATGGCAATTGTGCCATTGTGATAGCCAACGGCTAGAAGATTAGGTGTTCCAATTGAGAAATCCACAGCAGTAGCTCCATATGGACTCTGATAAATACGTTCTGGCCACTGAAGAAAAAAATAATTATATTTTAAACTTGGTTTTGCAGGCCATATAAGGTAGGTTATAATGGTGGCTAAATGGTGGACTGTCTGGTGCCAGTGGAAACATAAGAAGAGCTAGTCCACATTCAGTTACTCCTCCTAACTTCCAGTATAGATGAGAACAAAACATCAGTCATGTCCTTTACTTTGATGAATACTCAGAGCTCAATAATTTTAAGAAATACCACAGCATGGCCTCCTCCAACAATGATCATATTTTGGTAATCTTTCAGCAGGATTTGTATGGTCACCATAGATCATCTTCTTTCAGAAACAAATAATGCTCCAAACAAATTATCTAGCAATGTTCCTATCTTCCAGTATATGTTTCAGATGCTTGGGTTATCTAGACATTTCTAAGAAGGATAGAGGAAGCTCCAAAAAAAAAAAAAGAAACTCTTGAAGGTAGAATTCTACAACTCTACAACTTTGTGAAGAGTTTTATTGTTTTATTTTGCTTGAAGTCTAATCTAAATCCTTTCTTGCTTCTAACAATCTATGTGGAAAAGTAAACAACTTACTGATAACAGATCTTTTATCAATCCTTCTACATGTGTAAAATTGCTTCTTCCTTTCCTTCTTTTACTCTATATAAACCCAGCTCCCTAATAGACTGGGACTATTTATAAAAGATCTGATTTTTCCCCCTCTGATCCTTTTCTAAGTTTTCTACTTCACATTTCTAGTTATTAATTAAATCTAATGTAAAGCTGCAAAGTAACATATTGACTGCTACTGCTTAATGAAAAAGCATGATTGATTCTTATTATTCTTGAAAAATTCATGCTAATAGCACGGTCATATTTATCTATTTAATGTATTCAGGATAGCAAAAATCTATCTCATAAGGTGATGATTTATTTATAACCCAGTATTAAATGAAACATAATTTGCAAAGGATTTTCACTTGCAAATTTGTCTTTGTTATGGTAGACTACTCTGAATCAACAGATCTAACAGCCCATGGTAAATACTCAATAAATATTTATTAAATGAATTTACTCTATATCAATAAGAACAAATTTTAATTCTTACAGATTTTCTTTGGTCATTTTTTTTACTTTGTTTAATTATCACATACAACTATATACTTTATGAGAATTATGTCAACATTTAACCGACTAAAAATGGGTTTATTCCTATTTAGTTACCATAGGATTCTTTATTGACCAGCAGCAAGCCAATCCTCTTTTTTGCTCTTTAAATCCAAAGTGCCCATAGCCAACAGCCAAAAGGTCCTGAAAACCAGCAAATTATGTTAAAATAAGAGAGGATGGCATAAAATATGGGAAATACGTAAAGATGCATATTAATGAACTGTGTTTAAAATAGCAATAAGACATTTCTATTGAGGAAACAAAATACCAGTCTACCATCTATTTTTACTTTACACCTCCATCTTCCTAAGCAAAATAATAATCATCATATCTTCAGACTAATAAATATCTAAAAAGAATCAATTAAAAAGTTCTTTTATATATTGAGATAATCTTCCAAGATTGTATTACTACATTATAATGTTTCATGGGTTTTTGAGAATGACTTAATTATTTCAAATATAAAAACAGAGTACCATTAATTGAATTTTGAATCTTCCCCTAAACTACATGTGTTGCAGCCTTAATCCCCAATATCATTATATTTAAGGATAGGGCTTTAAGGAGGTCACCAGGGTTAAATGAGGTCATAATCTTAGTCCAATAGGATTGGTGGCTTTATAAAATGAGGAAAAGACACCAGAGCTCTCTCTCTTCACCATGTGAGAGCATGGCAAGAAGGTAGCCATCTGTAAGCCAGGGAGAGCTTTAACCAGTAACCAAATTGGCCAGCACCTTGCTCCTAAACTTCCTAGCCTCCAATACTGCAAGAAAATAAATTTCTATTTTTTAACCCAGCCAGTCTATGGTATTTTGTTATGGTACCCCAAGCAGATTAATAAAGCAGTTCATCTCAAGAAATGCTTATAGACAAAAATTTAATGATTGACTAAACCCAGTCTCTTCTTCATTATCAGAATATCTTTATCAAAAATGTAGGGGCATCTGGGTGGCTCAATGGTTGAGCCTTTGGCTCAGGTTGTGATCCCAGGGTCCTGGGATCGAATCCCATACCAGGCTCCCTGCATGGAGCCTGCTTCTCCCTCTGCCTGTGTCTCTGTCTCTCTCTCTCTCTCTCTGTGTGTGTCTCTCATGAATAAATAAAATCTTTAAAGATATATATATATATTTTTTTGCCACAACCCTATCTTCAGGCAAACATCATCTCTATAATTTCCTGTGCCTTAAACCACTCTACATGGACAAGCTTTTATTAATCTTAGACTCAGCATAGGCACCACTTCTTCTAAAAAGTATTCATGAGCATCTCTTATGTATTCCCACAGCACTATTTATTTTCCTTATTAAAGTACATAGAGAACCATTATATGGGCAGGATCTATGTATGACTAAATTACTACTGTAACTCTAATGCCTTATCAGAGTTCCTGGCACAGAGCGAATGTTCAGTATTTGTAGAATGAATTAATAAATATGATAGATGGTATTTGTCATATTTTTAGCTTCACTAAAAATTATTTAACTTTAATCTCTTTTTTAAAAAAATAGTTTTTATTTATTTATTCATGAGAGACACAGAGAGAGGCAGAGAGGCAGAGGGAGAAGCTCTGTGTGGGGAGCCTGATGTGGGACTCAATCCCAGGACCCTGGGATCACGCCCTGAGCCGAAGACAGATGCTCAACCACTGAGCCACCTGGGTGCCCCTAACTTTAATCTCAATAGCAATATATTAACTTTTAAAATACTAGTATATTCAGTTTCTAAAAGTGAATTATTCATCTTTATTAGTTATTATTATTAAATCTCACTTATCCAAATATAGTTTTATAAAGACCAATTCATACTAAAAGTATTTTATGCAATTAAAAAACAATGTGCATAACTTAAATAATGTGTTATAGCGGTTTCTATAAAAATGATTAAATAATTTCTGTTTTTTAATAAACATAACAACTAGCATATTTGCACATAGAATCTTATAAGGTGTGGCAATAAAATAATAAGGCTAATTCTTTTTTTTTAAGATTTTATTTATTTATTCATGACAGACACACACAGAGAGAGAGGCAGAGACACAGGCAGAGGGAGAAGCAGGCTCCATGCAGGGAGCCTGACATGGGACTTGATCCCAGGTCTCCGGGATCACACCCTGGGCTGAAGACATCACTAAACTGCTGGGCCACCGGGGCTGCCCCAAATCCTTAAACATACATAATACAATGCAGTGTAAATGAACAAATTAGTTCTGACCACTTTAAAAGCACACTAAATATTCATTCCAAAGATATTGTCATTACACAAAAGGTTTTGGAATCCCTAATTGAAAATCTTGTTTTCAGAAGCAGTTTATAAGCCCTAGGAGAAAATGTCTCGTTACTCTATAAGCCTCTCTCTCTCTCTCTTCTCTTCTCTTTTAACTAAAGAGAAGGGGGGAGGAACGGAGAGAGAATCTCAAGCAGACTTCCTGCTAGGTATGGAGCCCAACGCAGGGCTTGATTTCACAACCCTGAGGCCATAACCTGAGCCAAAATCAAGAGTCTGACGCTTAACTAACTGAGCCACCCAGTCACCCTTATAGTCATATCTTTTTTAAAAGCAAACATACCATTCCTAACTTAATGATTCATATAACTTGCCTCAAGATGATTTTTGGTGCCTGTGCAGTTAAGAACCCTGGTGCCAGATGTTTGGGTTTGAATTCTAGCTATTTAACTTACTAGTTGTATAACTTTGGGCAATTTATTTATCCTTGTTGTACTTCAGTTTCCTCATCAACATATTGGGGAAATAGTACCTAACTCAGAGTTGTGTTAATAAAAGTAAAATGCTTGCAATAGCACCTGGAATATAGTAAGTGCTGTTTAAGTATTTGTTATTACTGGTAGTAATAGCATTTTGGGAATCTCAAAATTATTTTGCACATTTTCAGAATCAGTAGATTAAGTATATACTTCTGAATATGATTACTTCAAGAAGAATATAAATTTGGGTACATGAGTTTGATATCTGAAAATAAATCAATTATATATTATCTTCTGGTTTACTTTAAGTATCTGATATGGATTCAGAGAAACTATGTCCCAAGTACATCTCCTAAAATAAAAATGATGATGTTTTCATATTGAAGGAGAAAAAACTTATTTTATAACTATTTTCATTTTCCATTTTTTGAAACATGAACTTCTTGTGAAAGGATATTAAAACTCTGGTTTATGTCAATTAAAATCCCTTGCCTAAAATTGAGGGAAAAAAAAACTTCATTACTACTTGACAGTCACCTTATATGCTAAACATAGAATTGTTAAAATGTTCAATAACTTACAGGATTTATTTTATTCCAGGCAAGGCTGCTCACACTAAGGCCTTTGGTTAAATCACAGGAAAAGGACCAAAGTCGTTCCAAAATGGCTGGTATTGTTGACTGTTCTGTACTTATTTCGATTTCTTCTTCTTCTTCCTTCTTACCCTCTTCCTGTGACTCTTCAAGTTTTTTACTTTCTAGAAAGTCTGCAGGTTCTTCAGGTTCTGGTTCTAAAATTAAATCACATAAAGATATTATTATTCTCTATCCTTTTCTATGCAGGCCAAATAAATGGTTACAGGAGCCTGTCAAAGGCTCCAAACAGCACCTCCATCTATGAGACATTTCAAGCACCATTGAATCTGCTGGGTCATATGGCCTAAGTGATAGGACATGCTGAAATACTTACTGCCTGGATCTGTTGAAGAATCTTCTGTCGTTCTTGGCCCCATTTAAGGCTAGCATCTTTTCAGGTCACTCAGTAAATGAGCCAGAGTAACACATCCAAATAAGGAATATATTGCCTCCAAAGAACAAAGAAGTCTACTAGGCATAGACACCCCCTCTTTTTTTTTGGTTCTAAGAGGTGCCAGATGAAACAACTTATCCTTCACCTTGGTAGGTATATCTTGATATACCCCATACTACCAGACCTTGAAAATTTCACTGAGGTGGAAAGCCCCTAAAAAACCATATTAGATTCATTTCTCACCCTCTGGCATGCAAATGCCTTACCAATAAGTCTACTTCTTGTTCATCAGGTCCAATCAGCATAATATCATCAATGTAATGGACCATTGTGATATTTTGTTGAAGGGAAAATTATCTGCAAACAAAATTATAACATAATTCTGAAGAGCTGATATAACTTTGAGGTAGGACAGTGAAGGTATATTGCTGGTCTGGCCAGCTGAAAGCAAATAGCTTCCAGTGGTCTTTATCAACAGGTCTTGCAGGGGGCCGGGTGGAGGGAGCATTTCTGTGTCAATAGTTGCATCCCAGGTACCAGGGTATGTGTTAATTTCCTCTGGCAATGCAACCACATTTGGAGCAGCAACCGCAATTGGAATCACTATCTGGTTAGGTTCACAATAATCCAGTTATTCCCTAAGATCCCGTATTTTTCTATGCAGGCCAAATAAATAAGTTGAACGGGGGATGTGATGGGAGTCAATACTCCTGCATCTTTCAAGTCCTTGATGGTAGCATTAATATCTACCATTCCTCCAGAAATGTGGTACTGCTTTCCTAGTTTCATAAGCAGAGGCAACCCTAGTGGCTTCTACTTAGTCATTTCCTACCATAAGAGGCCTCCCTCCAGTGATAAAACATGAGCATTCTGCCAGTTGCGGAATATTTCTATTCCAAAGAATACATTCTGGAACGCAGAAAATAACCACAGAATGGGTTCCGTGACCCGCTGGACTCACTAGGAGGTGGACCTGAGCTAAAATTCCACTGATCACCTGACCTCTGTAAGTCCTTATCTGGCTAATAGACCACAGTGATGTTTTGGGTCTTGTGAAGTTAGTGAACCCTCAGAGTTAGTGTGCACTGATCCCTGAAATTTCTGATGATTTCCTTTTCCCCAAAGCACATTCACCTTGATAAAAGGAAATAGGTTCCTCTGGGGAAAGCTGAAAGAAATATTAACAGTATACATTTTTGACACTATAGTGGGATACGTCCCCTCTATTCAAGGAGTTCTGGGTCTGCAAACTGACTCAAGTCTAGAAATTGCTTAAAGGGCTATGACTTTATTTTGGTATTTCAAATTAGACTTCTGCTCACTTGATTCTTCTGTTTATACAGATCATATAAGAATTTAGGAGACCACCTTTTATGGGCTGTATTGGGTGTCCCCAGAATTTATATATTGAAGCCCAAATCCCCATTACCTTTGAATGTAAAGGGTTTGGAGACAAAGGCTTTAAGGAAGTGATTAAGTTAAAACAAGGCCATTCCTCTAAGTCCTAATCAAATATGACTACTATCCTTATAAGAAAAGGAAATTTAGACACACCAAAAGACACAAGGGATGCACGTGCACAGATAAAAAACAAAACCATGTAAAGAACTGCAAGAGGGTAGGCATCTGGAACCCAAGAAGAGAGATCTCAGAGGAAACCAACTATGTGAACACTTCAATCATGGGCTTCCAGCCTCCACAAATATGACAAAGTACATTTCTGTTGTTTAAGCCACCCAGTCTGGTATTTTGTTATGGCAGCTGTAGCAAACCAATACAGCACCTACCTGTATTCTCTTCTAGGGACATCATGATCAACTACCATGGGTGTCTGTGAGTCAGACTATTCTGATTTCTGCTTTGTCTGCTCTGATAACCATGCCTGCCTTTTCTTTAGTAATTCAGGGCTGCCACTTATCCCCTGCCACTCAGGATCAAATTGTTTAAGGATCTCAGTTTACTGCAGTTCCCATGGTAATTTCTGACCTACAGAGAAGAGTGACCACAGAGATCTTCAAGGACGTTGGGATATCCCCTCACAAATGTATTTCTCACAATTGTGGTTAAAGGTGTATTTTCCTTCTGCAGTGGGTGAGCAGGTGATCATGATAAATCTACCCTAATATTCTAATGCCCTAAGCCTTTGGATACCTTTCTCTATAGTGTACCAAGCAGTTCTGACATTTCAGCTTCAGTTAGTGAAGACCACATTTGGGTCTAATATCAGCCAAGAAAATAACAAAAACAAAAGAAAATAAAACTATTAGATCCATTTCTTTTTTAAAAAAATATGTATATTTTTTATTGCAGTTCGATTTCCCAACATATAACACCCAGTGATCATCCCGTCAAGTGCCTCCCTCAGTGCCCGTCATCCAGTCATCCCATTCCCTGCCCGCCTACCCTTCTGTTACCCCTTGTTCATTTCCCAGAGTTAGGAGTCTCTCACGTTTTGTCACCCTCTCTGATTTCTCCCACTCATTTCTCTCCTTTCCCCTATAATCCCTTTCACTATTTTTATATTCCCCATATGAGTGAACCATATAATGTTTGTCCTTCCCTGATTGACTTACTTCACTCAGCATAATACCCTCCAGTTCCATCCACACTGAAGCAAATGGTGGGTATTTGTCGTTTCTAATGGCTGAGTAATATTCCATTGTATACATAGACCACAGCTTCTTTATCCATTTATCCTTCGATGGACACCGAGGCTCCTTCCACAGTTTGGCTATTGAGGACATTGTCGCTATAAACATTGGGGTGCTGGTGTCCTGCCATTTCACTACATCATTTTCTTTGGGATAAATCCCCAGCAGTGCAATTCCTGGGTCGTAGGGTAGCTCTATTTTTAATTCTTTGAGGAACCTCCACACAGTTTTCCAGAGTGGCTGTACCAGTTCACATTCCCACCAACAGTGCAGGAGGGTTCCCCTTTCTCCACATCTTCTCCAACATTTGTTATTTCCTGTCTTGTTAATTTTCCCCATTCTCACTGGTGTGAGGTGGTATCTCATTGTGCTTTTGATTTGTATTTCCCTGATGGCAAGTGATGCGGAGCATTTTCTCATGTACTTGTTAGCCATGTTTATGTCTTCTTTGGTGAAATTTCTGTTCATGTCTTTTACCCATTTCATGATTGGATTGTTTGTTTCTTTGCTGTTGATTTTCATAAGTTTGTTATAGATCTTGAATACTAGTCTTTTATCTGATAAAGGATTTTGTAATCCTTTAGATTTGCAAATATCTTCTCCCATTCTATAGGTTGTCTTTTAGTTTTGTTGACTGTTTCTTTTGCTGTGCAGAAGCTTTTTATCTTGATGAAGTTCCAATAGTTCAGTTTTGCTTTTGTTTCCCTTGGCTTCATAGATCTATCTTGCAAGAAGTTGCTGTGGCCAAGTTCAAAAAGGGTGTTGCCTGTGTTCTCCCCTAAGATTTTGATGAGTGTTGAACCAACCTTGCATCCAGGGGATAAATCCCACTTGGTCATGGTGAATAATCTTCTTAATGTACTGTTGGATCCTATTGGCTAGTATCTTGTTGATAATTTTTGCATCAGGGATTTTGGTCTATAATTCTTTTTGGTGGGGTCTTTGTCTGGCTTTGGAATTAAGGTGATGCTGGCCTCATAAAACGAGTTTGGAAGTATTCCATCCCTTTCTATCCTTCGGAACAGCTTTAGTAAAATAGTTATTATTTCTTCTTTAAATGTTTGGTAAAATTCCCCTGGGAAGCCATCTGGCCCTGAATTTTTGTGTCTTGGGAGGTTTTTTAATGACTGCTTCAATTTCTTCCCTGGTTATTGGCCTGTTCAGGTTTTCTATTTCTCCCATTACAGTTTTGGTAGTTTGAGGTTTTCCAGAAATGCATCCATTTCTTCTAGATTACCTAATTTATTGGCATATAGCTGTTCATACTACATTTTAAAAATTGTTTGTATTTCCTTGGTATTGATTGTGATGTCTCCTGTTTCATTCATGATATTATTAATTTGAGTCTTTTCTCTTCTTTTTAATAAGGATGGCTAATGAGTTATCTATCTTATTAATTCTATCAAAGAACCAACTCCTGGTTTTGTTGATCTGTTCTACAGTTCTTCTGGTCTCTATTTCATTGAGCTCTGCTTGAATCTTATTAACAACTCTCTTCTTCGGTTGGTGTAAGTTTTATTTGCTGTTCTTTCTCCAGTTCCTTTAGGTGTGAGGTTAGCTTGTGTATTTGAGTTTTTTCTAATTTTTTGAGGGATGTCTGTATTGTGATATATTTCCCTCTTAGGACTGCTTTTGCTATATCCCAAAGATTTTGAATGGTTGTATCTTTATTTTCATTAGTTTCCATGAATCTTTATAATTCTTCTCTAATATACTGGTTGACCTATACATCCTTTAGAAGGATGCTGTTTGGCCTCCACGTGTTTGAGTTTCTTCCAAATTTCTTCCTGTGATTGAGTTCTAGTTTCAAAGCATTGTGGTCTGAAAATATGCAGGGGACAATTTCAATCTTTTGGTATTGGTTGAGACCTGATTTGTGACCCAGTATGTGGTCTATTCTGGAGAAAGTTCCATTTGTACTTGAGAAGAATGTGTATTCAGTTGCATTCAGATGAAAAGTTCTGTGTATATATGTGAAATTCATCAAGTCCAGTGTATCATTTAAGGCTCTTGTTTCTTTGGAGATATTGTGCTTAGAAAATCTGTCATTTGCAGAAAGTGCCATATTTAAGTCTCCTACTATTAGTGTATTATTATCTAAGTATGTCTT